ATCCACCTGGAAGAGAAGCCAGGTCAGCAAGGGACCCACAGACACGGGATGCTGAAGGAAATATCACTGCTGCACTTAAAAATCTGCCAATGCACCAGCAGACTGTCAGCATAGAACCCTTACATATGGGGCAAGATAAGCTTTGAGGAAAATAAGTAATTTATTTTAGGGGTGTTTTGGTTGTGCTTTTTCTTTTTTTTTTGAACAGATCCACATCCACCTTTTCTAAGTAGGTTCCCATTAGAAACTGCTATTTGATTTTGGATAATAGTGGCTAAAACCAAACCACGTAGCAATGAGACGTTCTCTGCTCGCTATCCCTGTTAGAGCAGACCCCCACCACAGCTCAGGCAGCTCACCTTGTCTGGTGGGACGCTGTACAGCTCTGGCACCAGGTGCACCCCGTTCTTCCCCTTGATGAGAATCCCCTCAAGAGCCTCCCGGTACTCTTGCACCTGGGGAGGGAGCAGAGAGCATCAGGGCAGGCCTCCCTGTGCCCTTCTTCACATCCCCCCTTACCCAGGGCTCATTTCCCCTGGCCTGCTGGCTCCTGCCTCTCTTACCTGCTCCATGTTTCCACTGAAAAGCCCATCGATGATCAGGTACGTCCAGAACAAAGGCCACTCACACTCGATGTTCTCAAAGAGCTTCAGCTCTGCAGGTTCATAGTAGGAGCGGTTGGGATCCTGCAGAAAGGCCACAACGGCGAGGCGGGTGGTTGCAGGGTTCACGACCACCCCCAACACCCCCACCTCAAATACCCTCACTCTGTGGGTGCAGGTTAACCTGACAGTGGCAAAGCTCACGAGCACTGGGGAACGTCAGAGTGGAGAGCTCTGGAGAGCCCCAGCCACTCCTGCTGCCAGCGATTCTCAGGGCAGGAGAAGCACAGCTAAAGGAGAACCACCCAGGAACACTCCAGACAGCCAAAGGAGCCCACCAGATCACGGGCCCCACCAGCTGGATGTTTAACATCCCAAGTGCCACTTCCTAGTTTTATGGTTATCAAATGCCTGTCACTTCTATAATTGTCCTCGTTTTCCCTCCTCAAGCTTAGAGTCTAACATAGCAGTACATGAGCTGTTTGCTGGCCCAGGAGAGATAAAAACAGCCTCGTGTTTCCACAGGGCTCATCAAGACCCACAGGTTGACCTCTGCAAAGTTCCTGTGTGGGATGGCAGTCCCATTTTCCCCAGCCTCAGAGACATGCAAGATCACCAGCCCCAGGATGCAGGCAGAACCAGACTCTGCTTATCTGCTGTGGGCACGGGTGGGATGTGCCACACCTCTGCAGTGGGCTGTGGAATTTTGGGCAGCCCTGCCATGATACTGCCTGGATCAAAGAGCTCTCATCATTGCAGGGCTCCCCAGAACAGCCTTCACGCAGCATCCAGGGCGCTAGGAATGTCACCCAGGACAGTCTCTCCTCAGCACAGTCATGGCAGGTGGGAACACTGGGAGCACTCACCTCTTTGGGGGTCCTGTATCCATCACGGAGGAAGCGGCAGCAGCCATAGCGCCCCTGGGAGAGAAGGGGAGAGGAGCTGAGCAGGAGGAACAGTGTCAGGTACCTTCTACCTTCACTGTAAAAGTGAATTCTCTGCCTAAGAACCCCCTTCACACAGTCGCACAGTGCTCAGGCACCACAATCACAGCCCAGTGTGACAGCACACAGCACTGCTTCTTTGCACACCCCCAACACAGGTCACAGAGACCGGGAGAAAACAGCTCCAGGCACCTCCTCCCCAAGCACATTTTGGGGGAGAAAAGGATTGCAGGCTTTGAACTGTTTTTCAGGAAGGGTGAAGAGGGCAGAGCTGCTCACCTGCAGCTTTGTGATGATCTCTTGCTTGGTAATTTCCACCAGCTCACTGTCCTCCACAGCAAAGGCTGGGTAGGAGATGACAGAGAGCACGCTGGCATCCACCTCCTTGGATGAGGAGGCCCTCGGCAGCATCGAGTGGAGGATGGACTGAGCAAATGGAAGGAAAGAGGTTTAGAGGCCACTATTCACACTCAACCCCATCAGATTGCATGCACAGCCCTCACCTGGCAGTGCTGCACCTCATCTGGCAGCACCCGAATCACAGACTGTGGGCCTCCCTTTGCTCCAAAGAGATCCAGCTCATCTAGGGCCTCCAGGGCAGCCTGCAAGCAGGGCGAGACTCAGAGCAGTGTGTCCTCTACTGTACTGTAAGAGCTCTCACCCCATGCCAGCCCCACTGACCAGTTTTAAACAAAGAAGAGATGCAAACACACCCCTGCATCCTGCAAAGGCTGCAGAGCACCCATAGCCAAAGAATGACCACATCTCATCCCCACAGCTCACCTTGGCCATGCCGACAGAGCTGGCATTCAACTCGGTGATCCCCCGGTTCGTCTTGTCCCCACGTTCCCATATCCCAAAGTCCTGCAGAGAGGCAGCAGTTTGTGTCATGCCCAAAAACTCATAGAACCTCAGCCTTTGGCAGTGCTCCCAGTAAGCTTCTGAGGGGTTCTGCCCACTACCTCCACCCTCCAGGCACAATTCTCTTCCCTGGCAAAGGCCTCAAGCTACCCACCGCTGTCTTATAGGCCGCTTCGATGTAGAAGACGAGGTTCTGGATGAAGTTGACTTCATCCAGGCTGTGAATTATGTGGAGACCTGAAGCAGCAGGGAAGAATTCATGTTAGTCCTCAGGAAGGGGCTGTCCTTCTAGGAAGGGGCTGTAGAAGCCAGCCCCCCTCTTCCCCACATACCCTGTGGTGGCCACATCCTCACTCCCACCCCACCTAGCAGGTTGTGTCCCTGCAACAAAGGACACTCAGGAGCAGAGCCACAGATCTGTATAGAGAGCCCCACAACACCTCAACCCCCTCCACGTCCCGTGTCTCAATCCCTCGAGATACAGGTTTCCAAACGGCATCCCACCTGAGGCTGTCATCTGCGCCAGCATGAGCAGGTAGAGGGAGGTGGCATCCAACTGCAGGTGCCCCCACTCATGGTCTCCCACCACAGTGGCACAGGTGTGGGTGTTGTACTTGGCATGCAGGCAGTCCCGAGTGCTCTGGCTGTACTTGAAGGCCTCCACCTTGTCCACCTGGAGAAGCGGAAAGAGATGCAGGGGCTTGACAAACCCCAAACCCGGGGAAACTCCATGCCGCCAATCCAGCACGCACAGCTGGGAGCAGGACACATCTCACAGCCCCTGCACGCACTGAGAACACAAGCCCAGGCTCTTGTGTCTCTATAGTGAATGGTTGGAGGGTAAACAGCCATGTTTGCAGCACAGGGAAAGAAAAGGGTCACCCCGAATGCACTCAGGGAGAATAGTCACCGGGCCAGGCAGGCCAGAAGACAGGCAGCAATTGGCACAAGACTTCACTGGCCTCTAGCCCACAGCACTGGAACGCTCTCTGGAGGACTGACATCCAGTCAGGGCTATTTAAGTCTTTCTGAAAGGAGGTCAGCCCCCCTCGTTGAGGAAAGCTGGGGCTGGTGATCCCGGTGGGCTCAGAGGTGACCACTCGGCTCTCCCCTGGCTCCTACCTGTCTCATCATGCACTGGAGCAGCCCCCTCATCAGCTTCACCACGCTCTGCAAGGAAAGGAAAGCAGCCTCGTTAATCTCCGGATAGCAAAGAGAAGCCCTGACTCAGGACCAGCTGGTCGCTGACCTTTGCAGATCACCGGCGCCTGTAACCAGAGCCTCTGCTAACCGCAGCCATCGCTATGCGGGCAAGCAACGCAGGGAAGAGAGCGCTTATGGCCGCCAGCGGGACCAAAGCGCTGCGCCGGGGAGAGGGGGGGGGAAGGAGAAGGAGCTCCCAGCTGGACGTGAGGCCGCAGTCCCGAATCCCGCAGGACAAGCGGGCAGCCAGCACCGCAGCAGCCCTGCTCACCCCAAAGCCCCGCTTCCCACGGGACAGCCCTCAGCCCCCGCCCCACCTGCTCCAGCTCGTAGGCCTTCGCCTTGTCCTCATCGCGGTCGGCGTTCTTACGGTACGCCAGGCCCAGCCCCCAGACGGCCAGGATGCTGTAGACGTTATCGCGGACCCAGGCATCGCGGTGATCGGCGCTGGCGGGCAGCAGCCCGGTCACGGCGTCCTGCGGACGGCGAGAAGCGGGGGTAGGAGAGGAAGGAGGCGGTTCGGAGCCCCGAATCCGGCAGCGCAGAGCCCCGCGCCTCGCACCTGGTGCCGGAGGATGGTTTGCTGCACCAGGCGGCCGTAGCCGTCCAGCCGCACGCCCGAGTTGCTGCGACCGCGCATGGCGACGGCGGGGGGGAACGGCGGAGCGCGGGGCGGGAACGCGGCGGGAGGAGGGCGGAGGGGCGGCCGCCCCTCCGCCCTCCTCCCGCCGCGTTCCCGCCCCGCGCTCCGCCCGGGTGCTGGAAGATCAACCGCCTCTCCAAAAGGTTTCGCGCCGCCTCAAAGCTCCACTTCCCCTAGAATCCCATGTTTGCGGGATGTTTCCAGCACATTTACCCGCACGCTCAGCTCCGCAGCTTTTGGGAGGCTGTAGCGGCGGAGAGCCCCTTAACGTTCACTATGCAGCGGTCAGGACCTGGCTTCTCCGCGGCCGGTGGGCAGCGCCCCCTGGTGGGCGGAGGCCGCGAAGGGCGGGCGGGGACAGGGGGCCATATGGGGACATGGGGACGGCGGGGTGCGATGGAAGGCAGCTCCCGTCCGCGGACACCGGGGGACGGACGGCTACACCGAGCGTGCAACAACGCGCTGCCATCCTCCGGGCTCCCCGCACATCACCATTGAAGGAGCTAAAGCCCCCAGGGCGCCCACCCACCCCAGTATCCCAGCTCCACCACTTTCTACACGGACTGGAAGCACTCTCCTTCACGCTGCCACCTGGATTGCAGTGACCAAAGCACGGAGACAGGAGGGGAACGCGGGGCTCCTTATGTCACAGCAGAAGGAAAAGCGTAGGGGACACAAAAGGAGGTGGCTGGGGCATGGTGCACACCCACAGACCAGCAAGGGAACAAAGGAGCCACCGATGTGGACTTCAGCAAAATTCAGTAATTTATTTATTAACACAGTCAGCAATAAATAGAGGAAAGCCAGGCTGTGGGCCTGGGGGACACCTCTGGGAACAAGGACAAGTTCAGAGCAGAGCCCAGCCCACATGGACCAGCAGAAGGAGAGGCAATGGGGTGACGCTGCCATCCCCACGTCCCACCAGTTTCCGTAGCCATCCCAAGGAAAGCCAGGATTGGGGCTGCAACGGGGGGAGCCCCCAAAATACTCAGGGACAAGATGGCTTGGGGCGCGTGGGACTGAGTCCTATGGGTGCAGGTGACAGCATGGAGACACGCTCTCCACCAGCTTCATGCTCCAGCCCCCACAATAGACAGCAGTGCAGGACAGAGGGATGCTAAGGGCAGGCTCCCACCTTTAAAATCCTACATAATTTTTTTTTATATATAAGTTTTCCATAAAACTGTAAAACTTTCCCTCAGAGCATCGCACCAGAGTGGAGACAAATCCCTCCCCATCAAAGCAAAACAAAAAAAAAAAAACCCACAAAAAAGCACAACCAACCACCCACCGAGCATCAAAATACATCCAAAAAAAAAAAAGAATCCAGCACCGGGCACAGGTTACCGGCAGGTGCAGGACTCTGCGATCATGTTCTCATACTCCTTGTAGAGGATGCTGCCATCATGCTGGATCATCAGGACGCTGATGGGGCTGTAGCGGTAGGGGACGCAGGAGGGTCGGGGGACGCTGGCATCCACCAGCTGGTGGACCAAGTTCTGCACCACGGCGTGGTTGGGCGCGTGGTAGCCGTCGCGGAGGAGCCGCGGGCACACTCCTTTACAGTAACGTGGGTTGTAGCGATGGGGAGCGATGATCCAATGGTCCCAACCCAACTGGGCAAAGCTGACGGGGAAGGAGCGCAGGGAGCAATCGCTTTTGTCCCCTCCGGCATCCCGTAGGGAGCTGGGCAGGTCGTGGAGAAGCGTCCCTGCCTCACGTCGGCTGCGCTGAGGCTCCGGTAGCGTCCCGCTGCGGGTGTCATTGAGGAAGAGGAGGAGGAAAGGGTCTGCAGGGGACGCTGGGTTGGCTGCGGTGGCTCGACCAGCTCGCACGCAGATGTGCCGCAGCGTCAGCGCCCCTCCGGAGCTGCTATTTACTGGGGATAAATAGGGGGTGATGTCTGCTTCGGTCCAGCCGTGGCGGGATGGGGCGGCGGGGCTGAGCAGGACCGCCGGGGCTTTGGCAGCAGGCAGCAGCTCCACGGCACACAGGAGGCGGCCGCGGGGCAGTGGCAGGCTCTGAGGGTAAGCCACGGTGACACGGAGAAGGTGCTCAGCTTCAGGCTGGGCGCCCAGGCGGTAGGTGAGGGGCTGCATGTACCAGCGACCTGCAGGAGGAAAGCAGCTGTCAGCTGGGGCATCACCTCATCCCGCCCCACTGTGCTCAGAACAGGGTGTTGGGGGCCTTGGCAAAGAAAGCTGGGAAGGATCCCATCTCCTGTGCCAGCACTGCAGTGGGAGTGGAGAGCCAGCAGCGCTTGCAGCATGAGCACCAAGTGATGCCCTTGCCCTTGTTGAGCACAAGACTGTGTCTCCAATTAAGAAGAGATCCCATGACCAGATGCTCCACAGGGCATGGCAAGGACCTGAGCAGAAACAGCATCCCCAAACCAAAGAGGACCTCATGGCCAAGTGTTCCACAAGGCACAGAGAGGACCACACAGAACATCTCCAAGCCAGAGAGGGGATCCTAGCACTGCTTCCAAAGGGCACAGTGAGGACATAAGCAGAGACAGCATTACCAAGCCAAGGGGAAAACTATTCACAGGGCATCAGGAGGACCCAAGGAACAACAGAGCAGTGTCTCCAAGCCAAGAGGGACCCCACAGACCCAAGCAGCAGCACTGCCCCCAAGCCAAGGGCGAATCTCACAACCAAGTGCTGCTCCACCAGGGCACAGCACAGACCCAAGCAGCGACTCCAGGACTCAAAACAACCCCGCCAGCTCCACACACCGCATCACCCATTGCCACCACCTTACCTGCCCAGGGCTGTCCTCCACGGGAAGCCGCCTGCACCAGGCGCACGGTGTTGCTGCTCAGACTGCGGCCACGCCGGGGCCGCCCCTCGTGGTCAGCAGCGCGTCGGTACAGCTCCAGCATGTAGCGCAGGGGCTGCCCACTGGCTGCGCCCCCCCTCCAGCCCTGGCTACCTGGCGCTTGCTCCCGCAGAGCTTGCAAGAGGGGCAAGGGGGGGGTCTGGCTCGCAGCCCAGGAAAGCAGCACGGTGAGGAAGAGGAGGGCGGTGAAGGGGCGGAGCAAAGCCATGGTGGGTGACAGGGGGTGAGGTGACAGCAGGATTAGTGGAGCGCTGCGGTCATGCTTCATGTGTTCCCCCCCAGAGGTAAAGCAGAAAGAGGTCCCGGGGTGCTGTCACGCTACAGCACCCATGCCAGAGGATTCAGCTCAGCACAAAGAGAAAAAAGGGTGAAGAGGGGGGGGCTCTGCAAAAAGAGTGCAAGATCAGGGCTAAAACCCAAATCCCCCAAAGCAGGGGGCAAAGCCAGCTGGACAAAAACCTGGCAATGGGAGGGGGGCTTAAAAGTGCCGGGGTGGGGAAGGGGTGCAGTGGGGGGACCAGCTTGCTCAGCCCACCTGCTCCTCACCGGCCTGGTCCAGCAGGATAAGAGGGCTGGGGCCCATGGGACTTTTTAAAGGCATGGTCCTAATTAGGGCTTAAAGGGGCAGGAGCCCCCTGAGAACCACATCTAAGTTCTCCCTCCTCAGTGCCAGCTCTCTGAGGGGTCAGGATGGAGGAAAGAGCACAGTTCTGCCCAGCCTGGGGGGCTCATAGGGGCCAGGTGCCTCAGTTTGCCCTGCTGGGAGGTGGGGTGACGTCCCTGAGCCCAGGGGTGGCGGCACACGTGGATGCAGGGACCCAGAACCCAACAGCACAGAGCACAGCCGGGTGGTACCTGAGCTGTCACCAGGCTCAGCTGTGTCACCTGTGGGGTCCCCTGAGGCACAGCCTTATGGGGGACACCATCCCCAAACCCAGTGACACTCATGCCACCCTGACAGGACATCTCCTTGCCCAAAGTGGGCTCCACGTGATGTGACAGAGAGGGCAAGGAGGGATACAGGACGGGGACCTCCAGCAGTGCCACAGGGACAGTGGGGACATCTGGGAGGGAGGGGTGTCCCAAATCCCGGTGGCGTGGGGACAGCTCGGAGCCGCTGGAGCAGCCGTTTTGGCAAAGAGGCAATGAGTCAGAGCTGCCGGGGGGACGTGGGGTGACATCCCGGGGGACAGGGCGGGGGCCAGACGGCGTTGCGTCACCCATCCCCTCCCAGGCGTGGTAACGGGTGACATTGGGTGGGACGCGGCGGGTTGCGCCCCTCGGTGTCCAGCACAGGCTGCGAGCTGCGCCGTGCCAAGCCAAACTGTGCTGAGCTGTGCCAAGCCCCAGCGCGCCAAGCTCGCTTGTGCGCTGCGCCAAACTGCGCTCAGCTGTGTGCAAACCGTGCCACGCGGGGCTGAACCGTGCCACGGAGGGCTACGCTGTGCCATGTTGTGCCAAACCGAACTGTGCCAAGCGCGATGTGCCATGTGTATGTCTGAGCTGCGCCGTGCCAGTCCTCCTTGTTGTACCGGGACGCTCCGAGCCGCACCGCTCCCATCCCAGCGCAGCGCACGGCTCCGAGCCGTGCCGAGCCGTGCCGGGCGGGGCTGGCTGCGCTCCGCCCCAGCCAGGCGGGCGGTGGGGAGGGGGGGGGGTGTCATTTCCTCCGCCGTGCCGAGCCGTGCCGAGCCGTGCCGGGATGGGGCGGTAGCGGCCATGGAGCGGGCCGAGGGCCGGCCCGGGGCCGTGCAGTTGGTGCATGTGCAGCTTCAGGGCGGCGCGCCGTGGGGCTTCACGCTGCGGGGGGGGCTGGAGCACGGCGAGCCCCTCATCGTCTCCAAGGTAAGATCGGGGGTCCCTTCTCCCCCCCCCCTACGACTCCCTTTCCCCGCTTCCCAGGGCTCCCCCCGGGGGCAGGGAGGGCGGAGCGCAGGGAGCGGGAGGAAATTCCTCCGGCACATCCGTTGGGCTGGCGGGGGGGCGGCCGCCCCCGCACCCCTCCACCCCAAAGGAAGGCGATGCCGGGACGGGGGGGGGGGGGCACCCGTGTCCCCTCTATGCTGCCTCCATATCCTCGAGATGGGACTTTGGGGGAAGTTGGGGTCCCTCCGACCCCGCTCCTGGCCCATCCGCCAAGGGTCCGCGCTGGAGATCGGGGTTTGTCGGCGGGGGCGCTGGCAGCTGCGCTCCCCTTCTGACCCACCCCGCCCTGCAATTGTCCCTCGCTCTGTTGCTGTCCCCACTTTTTTGGGATCGGTTGGCATCGCCCCCGCGGGAGTCGTGCAGCACCCATGGGACACCCCAAATGCATGGCAGGGGGTCAGCCCCGTCCCCTTCGCTCGTGCCCCCCCAGTTTGTCCCTCCCAATGTACCCAGGGCCATCCCGCCCCGCTGCAGCGTGGTCTGGCCGGGGGAGCTGGAAAAGTGGCTCCTGTCCCTGCCCTGTGCCCCAGGGGTGTCACCGCGGGGCTGAGAGCCACTGTGCCCCGAGTCTGGATCGGGACCCCGGGGACGCGTCCTGCTGCTGCGGGAATCGAGAGGGGGGGTCCTCGCCGTGCCGGCCCCCGCCACCGCCGCGTGTGCAGTGCAGACAAAGGGGGCTTGTTCCAGCGCTCTGTGCATTCAGTGAGGGTCCCCCGGGGCGCCCGCAGCCGGCCGAGGAGCGTGCGTGCCGGCGGAATGGGGGGCCCCGGGCCCCCACGCTGGAGGAAGGATGGAGGGGGTCCGGCCGTGTGGGTCCTGTCCTGCGGTGGGTTCCAGCAGGTATTCCCACCGGCCGACTTGGTGCCACCATCCCGGACCGGAGTGAACGCTGCGGTTCGGCTGCCCGGCACCGCGGGTGCTGCGCTGCCTGTTGGTCCCCCAGCTCTGCCCCTGGGGGTGCCAGGGAGCGGCGGGGGGCCCCCGGCAGTGGGGCTGGCAGCCACCCAGGCGGGCGCTGAGGGCGCTGTGCGCAGAGCCCGTTCCTCTGCCGGGCAGGGTGGGGAGCCCGCGGGCAGGGTGGGCGGCTGGCGGTGGCGTGTCACCCCATAGGTGGCTTTGGGGTCCCCGTGGAGCCCTCCGGGAAAGGGTGCAGAGCCCCGTGCTGGCTGTTTTACCCTTAAACCCGCAGGCGGGCAGCAGAGCAGCATCCTTACGGGGCTGGGAATGAAGCCCCTATGGGTGACTGGCACAAAGAGAACTTGTGCTGCCCGCGCCCGCAGGGGAATCTGCTGGGACGGGACATTTTTCTTCCCCCTCCTCCTTTCCCTCTGCCCTTTCTTAGCTCAGAATTTCATGTGACTGGGGCGGACACCGCGGATCCCTTGCATTCACAGCAGGGTGCTCGGGCCGAAGGCACCATTGGAGTGTAGGGGGCAGCTTTTGGGATGGTGCTGCCCTGATGCCTGTCTCTCACCCAGGTGGAGGACGGGGGGAAGGCAGCACTGTCCCGGAGGCTGCAGCCCGGCGATGAGCTGGTGAACATCAGCGGGACCCCCCTGTACGGCTCCCGCCAGGAAGCCCTCATCCTCATCAAGGGCTCTTACCGCACCCTCAAGATGATCGTCCGCAGGTTGGCACGGGGATGGGGAGGGGGCTCTGGGTGTGGGGTGACCCCTAGCATCACTCCTGGTCCCTGCAGTGGGGTGGGCAGATCCCAGCCTGGTGTCCCTTGCTCACCGCCCCCTCTCTGGGCGGTATCTCCGAGCTCTCCCTTCCTGCTTGCCTGGGGAAGGAAGGAGAGGCAGTGCCGGCCCCCCCCAACCTCCCCTGCAGCCACTCTGCCGGCTGCTCCCAGCCGGGCTGCAGCGCTGGGGGGCACAGAGGGTCCTGGGCCGTGCCGCCACTGGGGCGCAGCCTCATCCATGGTGAGTTTGAGGGTGTCAGGGGGTGGGGTAAGGGACCCCCGTGCCCTCTCCTCAGACTCCATTGCCTTCATGCCAAGCCCTGGGGAGTGGGACAGCCCCTATGGATGCTGGGGCTGGCAGATGGCATTTGTGGAGTGCAGGGAGTGGCATCAGCCCTGCTATCCATATGGGAACACTTAGGAGGGACTGGGATGGGGGGCACAGAGGTGTCCCCACTGTCCCTTCAACAGGGTCCAGCAGCTGAAGCCAAGAGGGCTGAGCTTGTTCTGGGCATGGGAGGAGAATGCTCAGCCGTGCCCTGTGCCAGAACCCTGTGTGCCATACCTGGGACCCCTGTGGTCCCCCCCCATCACTGCTGTCCCCCTTAGATGGGCGCTGGCCTGGGGGTGTGGGGGTGGGCAGGAAACCCCATAGGAAGTGACTTCAGCCCCGGTTCCTCGGCCCAGCTTCCTCCCCATTCTTGTCCTCTCCCGCTGTTGCTCTTGGCAAGGAGGAGCGTGCCCGTCCTCCGGCCCCATTCCTGGCACATGGCCAAGCTCGCCGAAATCCGCCCCGACGCCCCGGCCATGCACTGCCCCCCCGATGCCTTCAGCCTCTCCTGGCCCTCGGGTTGTGATGTCAGGTGAGAAAACACGGAGGGGTCCCAACTAGGGGGAGGATGGGGAGGGGGTCCCCAAGCTGCCCCACAACGCCGGTTCGCCACTGCCCTGTTTACTGCTGGCAGGAAGGGGTGGTGGCTGTGCCGGAGGCAGCCAGGAGGTGACGAGTCCCGGTGCCACGCATTCCCCATGTCCCCTGGGCAGCCGTTGTGCTGACTTGAACCTGGGGGTTGTATGCTCCCTTTCGGGGACACTGACGGCACCGTGACGCTGCCGGCAGCGAGCTGTCCCTGCAGTGGAACCCGCTGTCCCGGCACTGCAGCACGGACCGGAGCAGCTCCATCGGGAGCATGGAGAGCCTGGATCAGCCCGGCCACACTTACTACGAGGGCACCCCATCGCCTGTTGAGCACCACAGCAAGCGAGACTCAGCCTACAGCTCCTTCTCAGCCAGCTCCAACACCTCAGACTGCGCCTTATCCCTGCGCCCTGAGGACGCCGCCGGCCCTGAGGGTCCCTGCAAGCCCCCAGACCCACGCTACCTGCAGACAGGCGCTGAAGGAGCGGAAACGAGGCACACGGCTCGGCACCCCGTGCCCCCGCAGCCCCCGGTGCGCAGGGACAGCCTGCGGGCATCCCCAGCCAGCAGCACGGACCGCCGCCGCGTGTCGGTGCCCCCCGCCCCGCTGCACGCCCAGGGGAGGTGGATCTCCGACACTTTCCTGTGCCAGCGGGACAAAGAAGGCGAGGGGAGCAGCGGGAGGATGCCGGCAACGTGTCCCCCCAGGGAGCACCTCTCCGCCGATCAGTACTACATGCTGAGCTCCCACCCTGACCGCTGCGCTGGGGACGGCGGGGATCGGTCCTACCCAGAGAGCAGCACGCACCGTGTGCCAGATGCAGGGATGGAGACGGCGGGGGACCCCGTGCTGCTGTCCCCTCTGCAAGGCCATCGTCACAGCGCGCCTGAGCAGCTGCTGGCCTCCCAGCTCCGCGCTCTCCACGTGAGCGCCGGCAGCGGGCGGGCATCTCCTGCGTCTCCGGCACCTGATAACCACCACTGGACCACATCCCCACTGCACGCCGAGCCCCGCGGGCCAGGAGGGCTCAGCCCCGCACCCAGCACCGAGGGCCTGGCCGAGGAGCAGCGGGCAGGGGGTCGGCGTGGTGGGGGTCCCCCAAACCGCTCAGCTCACTTTCGGCGCCGCAGCGAACGCTTCGCCACCAACCTGCGTAACGAGATCCAGCGGCGCAAAGCTCAGCTGCAAAAGAGCCGGGGACCCGGAGCGCAACCCCGGGGCGAGGAGCCCGTGGAGGAGGCAGAGGAACCCACAGAGGGCTCACCAAGCCCTGCACCCAGCGAGGACGGTAGGAGCTGCGTGGGTGACGCGCTGCCAGGCCCCGAAGTTGAACGAGTGGCACCCAGCCGGGGCCGCTGGCGTTGGTCTCCGGAGCGCAAGCTGCAGCCGCAGCGCTCGCCCAGTCCCCGTGAGCACCAGGGTGCAGAGGAAGCCGTCCTCCTGCCCTTTGCTGACCGCCGCAGATTCTTCGAGGAGAGCAGCCGCCCCACACCCGCCTGGCATGGAAAACCCCAAAAAGCGGCCGAGCCCGACCCTTTCCCAACCGCTGAGCACCGTGACGCTCGCCGCGTATCTGGACCCTACAGCGAGTGCTGCCGGGAGCAGCAGCCCTACTACAAAGTGCTGCCGAGGCACGGCGAGCTGGAGTATCTGCGGGGCTGCCCCTATCCCTATGGAGCTCCCCCTGGGATGCACGAACCTTGCCGCTACTGCACCGGGGAGATGTGCCCGGCGCTGCTGCCCCGCGGCCATGCCTACCGCTGCCACCCATGGGCACGCTGCCCCGACTGCTGCTGCATGCCGCGGGATGAGAGCGGCGCCTGGGCACCCCGAAAGGCCTTTATGCCGGTGAGTGAGCCGTGCTTTGGGGATTTG